GTCCTTCAACAAAAATCACGCGCTCCAAGTCAATATCGGGTTTTATAGGTGGACACGTGATGCACTCCTGGTTAATTACTTGTCGGGAATAATATGAAAAAATAATAAATGCCTATATGGAAATTTCCCGGAACCTATCAGAGCGCATGCACAATTAGACCGGAATGCGATCTGGCAGACGACAACAGAAGATGGCTACTGGCGATCGTTTCTCTCCGTAACATCTGAAAATGTCCAACACTGTTCGGGAATAAAGATGCTGTAACATAAAAAAAGGCCACTGAACACGCAGTGCATGTCCTCCATGCTTAACCTAAAAACAATAACCTAGACGATGTCTTCGAAAGCTACGATGCTGAACTGTTGAATTCATACCTGCAGCCTAATTTTCACACGGAGGCTCGAGTACAAAAATCAGCCCTGCGTTTTGTTTTTGATTTATGTTATTGTTGAAGCAATAGATATTTCACTCTTTCAGGTTCATATCACATCATATTCACCAGCACAAAAGTTCATAATTATATAATAGGGAACCCTATCTCACTGCATGCAAACCAATAGAGAATTTCACTGTGGTTCTTCGTGTATGTTTAGATATAACTTTTGTACAATTGTAGCGTAGCTGGGTCAGGGTACTTTCGTTAACCTTTTAAATTGCAGAGTAACTAAGTTGTTTGGAGCGACGGTACATGTCACAGGTCCAGGGTCTGAACCATGTCTGGCAGCTGAATTAAACCACCGCTGTTGATGATATTTGGTTTATATTATGTTTATTTTATTCATGTTTTAGATGATGAAAGTCCCGCAAGGTATGGTTTCCTTTTCAGAGATGATTTATCAAAGTTATAGTCATACAGTGGTATGGGGAACCTTAACACTTCAATTGTCCTGATATCTTTATGGTTCATTGGAGTAACTATAACGTTACATAAAATTATATACCTGTAAATAATATACCAGGTGTTGAGGTAGGCTCGTTTTGTGGTAATGTATACATAGAAAGCACACCGCCCCGAAACAGCTACATCGAGATGGCTTTCTGAATCGTATTAAAACGTAACGAGTTTGTCTGCCCTTGTTCTGTCCAGCCGTTTTTGTTTTAGAGCCGCATATAGCTTGACCTAGGTGTTTAGTCAATGTGCTGTTATTTAGTGACATCTACCATACAATCAAAACGTGATTTCTACTGAGAAATACAAGAGGATTAATGAGTTTGACGTGTTTGTTCACTGACAGATCAGTTTTCTTTTAATATTCCCTTAGAAGAAGACACAAAAGAAAGCCCCCTGATTCTGCAAGTCGCCTTTACAGTGCTCTCACACTATAAACTTAACATTGCAATTATACATGTAGCACGATTCTCTCTTTCTTCTCCTCGTTTCATTTGTCGTTGTAAATCGTACTGTTAATATCTATACCTGCAAATAATGATAACAGATTGTATGACTTGTAAGAAAGATTATCAGTTTTTTCATGCCAGTGATGTAGGATAGGAACAATCCATCCGAGGGGTTTTTCAAATTTAGTTAAACCGGAGGCTTTGCAGACGTCACGTCACGTCACGTTACGTTAAGTTACGATGCCGATGGCTCAACAATAACGAAACTCCGATGCCGCAATACGGTAAGGCGACGTGATTAAATTAAAACCTTTTACCATATATTTACCGTACACGTTAGAAAGAATTTTAAAAAATCTATGTTTGCAAATATGGGGTATGCTTAATCTCGCTGACAGATTCGTTTTCGTCAAAAAGCTCAAGGGAAATTGATAGATAGACAGCCCTATATTATGCACACGGAAATTAGAGAAAAATGAATAGTAGTGTTTGTGCATGTTTCCTAATCACCTTGTCAATATGCGCGTACATTCTATCTACTAAAATCAAGATAAAGCTAACCAAAAAGAAACAATATATTTTGAAGTTTGAAATAAGAGACTAGGCAGTAATTCGTCAAAATGCGCCTTGCTTGTTTCAGTGATAACGGGTTACAAAAGGATGAATAATTGATAGGGATCAACTTATTGAGTTCGTTTTACATCTCACTTTGTTTCTGCAGTTGTAAACTCTCAAGTGGTTCGTGTAGATGTCGCTTCCAAGTAGAGAAATAAGGTTCAAGCGCTTGCGTGCAGTTCTGACATCCTCATAAAGCCGGTATAGTTTAAAAACATATTATATATATACTGTCGGACATGTACAAGAGCACGTGTCAGAGCGTTTGTCAGAGCAGATAAAAATACCAAGGAAGTGGATATTACTAAGCTCGTATGGGTCAATATCGATTTAGTGAACGGAGGGGACGAACGTGCTCATCTCGTGCGCCGACAAATTTACACTATTAGAGAGCGCGATGAACATGCACGGAGACCGGAAAACAGTTCTCGTGCCAGTCACGTGCTAATTTTTTTTTCATCTCATATGTCCTCTGTCGTTTCCTGTGTCACGTAATTACCGAGATCAAATTGAGATCAAACAGTGAATTCCATCTTCTAGTATCACATTCCTCAACTCAAATATAGAGCAGACGTGTTGTGTCCGACTCCCGGTACAGTTGTGCGAAAACTCGGATATATGTATCGTATTTTTTGTCTTTTATTTACTAGTTTTTATTTTTTATTTCTTCCTTATTTTGTTAAATTCCAAAAATGACATCTGCCGTTCATTACGTGTGTTTTCTTTTTCAATACTTTTGCAGAAACTGAATATATCAACTGAAATAACTTTTAAACCACAAAACACTTGTGTATCATGCTGTGAGATTCACACAATTAGAAAATTGTACACCTTGTCTGAATATTTGGTGAAATTGATAAACTTTGAACTAATAAAAAAAAAATGCCATTAAGTTTGTACATGTAGCTTCGCCGATCTATTCACACATTAGTAGAAGTATTCATATTATATAATTATGAAGGAAGCTCTATCATTTGATGAGAGAAAATAGCAAAATAAACTAATTATGCACCACGTGAAATGTGCAACAATTGTATTTTGTATATAAACCCCACGTTTTGCATAAAGGGGTAAATTGACCAAGTTAAACCAATTACGCTCCCTGATAAAGTGGAATCTCAAAACGATTCAAATCAAAGGGAATTAACACTGTAAAGGGAGTTAACTCTTGTATTCTATTTTCCTAAACACTCAAAATCTATGCTCTGATTGGATAGTCCTAAGAAATAAACATTGTTTTACGTCCTTTTTGTTTTTTAAAATATTCTTTGCACACACCGGGTATCCGATGCCGATACAATGAACCGGAGCAGGCACACACAACGCAGAATCACGTGTAGAAAGGACTAGTGACAGTGTTTGGTCTGAGGTAATTGTCCCAGTTCAGTTAATTTAACTTGTTAATTAGTGTACATATCTGTGAAATTTGGAACAGAAATGACATCGTCTCAGCTAATTTTCCAAAGACTTCCGCTCACCTTTTCCACTGTATGAACGAAGGGAGGTAACCCTCACAATATGACAAAAGGCGATGGCTCCAGCATTACTTATGTATGCGTACGGGAGAAATGGTACCGTTATTTCAAACCAATACTCCTGATAATACCTCAAAGTTCCTACCACAACTGGACATGTGAAGAAAGCTGAACAAAGTCTTGTTGTTTTGTTTATTCTTCGTTAAAATATATTGTTATTTGTGTTACTTGAATTTCGCTCAAATTAAAATTTGGAATTTTACTCACCATGACCGAATTTCGAACAGCAAACTTCAATAAAATTGTGTCTGTTTTATGCTTGAAATTTTCCTTGGAAACGTTTTATTACAGTTAAGCAAGCTATAGACGTAAAATAAATACGGACGTCTGTTTAGTTTATATAATGCATAATACAATCATGATTGAACATAAATAAAAGGAGATAGAAACAAGTGTATATGTATGGATTCAGATTATATAAGTCGTTACTGGTAAATTCTGGGCTAATTTTATTTTTCTTTTTTTATCAGCATTGTTTCTGAGTGTGATACTGTATCAATTATTCATCGTTACATGTACAACTACGTATGGAGACAACAATCCTACTGAAGAGGTACAGTATTTAGTCTATCAAAATGTGTAAGAAAAAATGAGATAACAAAAAGCTAGGGGTTATTTATTGGGATATTCCTCAAATATTTATATAAGTATTCGTATACCCCGGCGCAGCAGATATACATGCACGCCCCCTCCCCTTATTTAATTATTTCAGTCATTTATTATATGGACTGGGAATGGGGCGTCAGGAAAAAAAGTAACATGTACACTGTGCAATCCTTAATGTTAAGTCCCCCTAGTCCTCTAATACTATATGACTACCCGTATATAGTACGGATAACAGAGAAAGATAAACAACTTCTAGGTGAAGAAGATGAGAAAATATGGTTGGTAATGATAATCGAAATAAATTAAGTTTATAATGAAATACAAAGGAAGACTTTCAATCCAATTTGCCAAGTTGATTTAAAAAGTTACCTATAAAATATAATTGGACCAATATATAGTTTGTATTGATATCTGCCTCGTTGTTGTAAGACTAGTCACTGATAGTTAGTGAATATGGTCAGGTGTAAACTTGGCTTGGAGGACTATGTACAGTTCCTCGAAAGGAACAATAGACATGTGTGAAAGGTTCAGTTAGGTACTTAATTAAGGTAACAGTCCTTAACTGTCTTTTGGAGAACAATAGACAGGTGTGAAAAACTCCGGATCTTACAGGGAACAATAGCAATTACCTGTAAGGTGAGCAGTAATCTGTTCACCTGGGTAATTAGGATAACAGAAGTGATTACTGTAAAGTGATCTCACATTTGTATACCAATCACGGCAGAGATTATCAGGTCAATTACCCTATCAATCAATCAGAGTGTTCGGTTACAGTACACACTTAACAGTAATCAGTAGGCTCCCCCAATGGGAGGACGAGGTAACTGTATTCTGAACTCCTGTTACAGGTGTCAGCCAATGGCACACCAGGATCTTAACACCCAAGCCAGAATTTTACTTTAAAAATGGTGTCAAGTGTCACCCATTGCGAGACTTCCACTACCCGCCCTTACTCCGAGACCACCACCACCCGCCCTCACTCCGAGACTTCCACTACCTGCCCTCACTCTGATATCTCCACTACCCGCACCCACTGCGAGACTTCCACTACCCGCCCTCATTCCGAGACTACCACTACCCGCCCTTACTCCGAGACCAACACCACCCGACCTCACTCCGAGACTACCACTACCCGCCCTCATTCCGAGACCACCAGTACCCCCACTCACTGCGAGACCACCACCACTTCCCATCCTCACTGCGAGACTTCCGCTACCCGCCCTTACTCCGAAACCACTACTACCTGCCCTCACTGCGACAATAACACCTACCTCCAGACTACACCACTCAATAAATCCACTACTGCCTCCAATCCCATCTCTGAATCCAGACCCGACTCCATCTTTGGTTTGCTGTCCTCCACCTCACCTCCGTCCACTCCTCTACTCAATCACCCGTTCTTTTGTGAGCTTCGATCCGTCCTCCTAGATGAGTGTAAGAAGTCTGCCACGCCCAACTCCCTTCTGTCGACATTCCAACCCAAGTCCTACTCCACAGTGTCTGACAGAGAGCGCCGACTACAGCAGATGTTCAAGAGACAACACAGTACCCATGGTGATGAGATTCAGCAACTGTCCAGCTTTTACCGATACCAGGCCGGAGCAGTGGAAATGGAGCGTCTACAGAATCTACAAGACAGTGCCCCCACCTACCATCCACCCGTCAACAGTTACTACGACAACCAGCTTCACCTCATCATGGACCGTGTGGAGACCAGCCTTGAGGGACTCGACACCACAACCCGTGAGAGGACCCGCCATCAGAGTGAGCCACTCTCGGCCGCGACTCGTCCACTGTCCCGACCCGTCTTGTCCCGGAAGGCCATCCGACTGATGGAAGAGTGGTTCTACCTCAACACCGAGCATCCCTACCCGTCACCAGACGTCATTCACCGCCTCGCCGAGCAAGGTCACGTCAAGGAGGAACAGGTCAAGAAGTGGTTCAGCAACAAGAGGAGTCGTACCCACAACACCAAGACACTGGCCGAGATCTCCAAGAGACGTCGTCGACCACAAGGACCCCCGGGTATCATCTACCTACCCAGTTTTGACTACCGTTGATACCAGATGTCATTCCGAAAGTGTGTTGCGCGATATCGAGACCTCTCAGAGTGCTATATTATGCTGACTTTGATGAAATCAATGTAATTCCTTTATCATAATATTCAGTGCTAAAATCTCTTTAATTCGTGTCTATATTTATCATAATATGTACTTGTTGTCATTTAAAATATGTACGGTTTTGGTATGTTGTGCTCATATAGTGCTAGTACGTCTACATCTACTATGTACATATAGTGTAAAGTTGTTGTGATACATAATCTATATACTTACTATGCGTTTCTTGTGTTATGTGTAAACATAAGTTCATTTGTCTATTGTGATATGTCTGTCTTATGCGCCATTTATGGTCATGATGTTTTATATGTCATTATTATTGTTGTACTTGTATATAGTATTATTTAATATAATATTTATAATTACATGTGTGCTGCTCTATCCCTGTTGTAGATTTACTTACGTTATTATGTTGTATGTAATATCATTCCGTAACATTATGTCCAGTGCTCTTTACGTGTTGATACCGTGTTATCGGAGTTATGTGTTTATTGTACAGTTATTGTGTATATATATATTGTTTATCCAGTTTCTAATTGTATTTAGTGCTATTTATGAACTATTAGTTGTGTTTTATGTACTGATTGTATGCCCTGCCATTTGTTACAGTTATCAAATAAAAATCCTTCTAATTTTCAGCTATATTTGTGCTGCTTTTTTTGTTCGCAAAACGAATCAGAGAGTTGAAAAGAAGACATTTTAATCCACGAAGAAATCATTTGATGGGATGTTTGCTTTTACTCGTACACGCTTCTCTTAATTTTTACGGTTTTAGAATAGAATGAAATACCTTTTGAAGTTTGAAATACGAAACTCATCCTACTTAAAGGATTCCGTGCAAAAGCTAGGCAGTAACTCGTCAAAATGAGTTCTGCTGGTTTCAGTGATAACGGCACTTTGTATAGACGTGTCGTGTCCCGGTACAGATGTATAGACGTGTGATGGCCCGGTACAGATGTACAGACGTGTCCCGGTACAGATGAGCAAACATGTCGTGTCTCGGTACAGATGAACAAACGTGTCGTGACCAGTACAGATGTGTCGTGTTCCGGTACAGATGAACAAACGTGTCGTGTTCCGGAACAGATGAACAAACATGTCGTGTCCCGGTACAGATGTACACACGTGTCGTGTCCCGGTACAAATGTACAGAGGTGTCGTGTCCCAGTACAGATGTGTCGTGTCCCGGTACAGATGTACAGACGTGTCGTGTCCCAGTACAGATGTGTCGTGTCCCGGTACAGATGAACAAACATGTCGTGTCCCGTAACAGTTGTATATACGTGTTGTGTCCCGTAACAGATGTATATACGTGTTGTGTCCCGTAACAGTTGTACATACGTGTTGTGTCCCGTAACAGATGTACATACTTGCTGTGTCCCGTAACAGATGTACATACTTTCGTGTTGTGTCCCGTAACAGATGTACATACGTAGTGTCCCGTAACAGATGTACGTACATTCATGTACGTAGTGTCCATTAACAGATGTACATACGTACTGTCCCGTAACAGATGTACAGACGTGTCGTGTCCCGTAACAGATGGACATACGTGTTGTGTCCCGTAACAGATGTACGTACTTGCTGTGTCCCGTAACAGATGTACATACTTGTTGTGTCCCGTAACAGTTGTATATACTTGTTGTGTCCCGTAACAGATGTACATATGTGTTGTGTCCCGTAACAGATGTACATACGTAGTATCCCGTAACAGATGTACAGCCGTGTCGTGTCCCGTAACAGATGTACATACGTGTCGTGTCCCGTAACAGATGTACATACTTGCTATGTCCCGTAACAGATGTACATACGTGTTTTGTCCCGTAACAGATGTACATACGTAGGGTCCCGTAACAGATGTACGTACATTCATGTACATAGTGTCCATTAACAGATGTACATACGTGCTGTCCCGTAACAGATGTACAGACGTGTTGTGTCCCGTAACAGATGTACGTACTTGCTGTGTCCCGTAACAGATGTATATACGTAGTGTCCCGTAACAGATGTACATTATATACGTGTTGTGTCCCGTACCAGATGTACATACTTGCTGTGGCCCGTAACAGATGTACATACGTGTTGTGGCCCGTAACAGATGTACAGACGTGTCGTGTCGCGTTAAAGATGTAACGACATGTCATGTCCCGGTACAGATGTACAGCCTTGTCGTGTCGCGTTAAAGATGTAACGACATGTCATGTCCCGGTACCGATGTACAGACGTGTCGTGTCGCGTTAAAGATGTAACGACATGTCATGTCCCGGTACCGATGTACAGACGTGTCGTGTCGCGTTAAAGATGTAACGACATGTGTGTCGCGTCCCAGATGTACAGACGTGTCGTGTCGCGTTAAAGATGTAACGACATGTCATGTCCCGGTACAGATGTACAGCCTTGTCGTGTCGCGTTAAAGATGTAACGACATGTCATGTCCCGGTACAGATGTACAGCCTTGTCGTGTCGCGTTAAAGATGTAACGACATGTCATGTCCCGGTACAGATGTACAGCCTTGTCGTGTCGCGTTAAAGATGTAACGACATGTCATGTCCCGGTACAGATGTACAGCCTTGTCGTGTCGCGTTAAAGATGTAACGACATGTCATGTCCCGGTACCGATGTACAGACGTGTCGTGTCGCGTTAAAGATGGTACATACTTGCTGTGTCCCGTAACAGATGTACATCCTTGCTGTGTCCCGTAACAGATGTACATACGGAGTGTCCCGTAACAGATGTACATACGTGCTGTGTCCCGTAACAGATGTACATACGGGTTGTGTCCCGTAACAGATGAACATACGTAGTGTCCCGTAACAGATGTACATTATATACGTGTTGTGTCCCGTACCAGATGTACATACTTGCTGTGGCCCGTAACAGATGTACATACGTAGTGTCCCGGTACAGATGTACAGACGTATCCCGTTACAGTGTGCAGACGTGTCGTTCCCCGGTACAGATGTAGAGACGTGTCGTGCCCCTTTACAGATATACAGACGTGTCGTGCCCCGTTACAGATGTAGAGACGTGTCGTGCCCCGGTACAGATGTACAGACGTGTCGTGTAGCGTTACAGATGTACAGACGTGTCGTGTCGCTTTACAGATGTACAGACGTGTCGTGTCGCGTTAAAGATGTAACGACATGTCATGTCCCGGTACCGATGTACAGACGTGTCGTGTCGCGTTAAAGATGTAACGACATGTCATGTCCCGGTACCGATGTACAGACGTGTCGTGTCGCGTTAAAGATGTAACGACATGTCATGTCCCGGTACAGATGTACAGCCTTGTCGTGTCGCGTTAAAGATGTAACGACATGTGTGTCGCGTCCCAGATGTACAGACGTGTCGTGTCGCGTTAAAGATGTAACGACATGTCATGTCCCGGTACAGATGTACAGCCTTGTCGTGTCGCGTTAAAGATGTAACGACATGTCATGTCCTGGTACAGATGTACAGACGTGTCGTGTCGCGTTAAAGATGTAACGACATGTCATGTCCCGGTACCGATGTACAGACGTGTCGTGTCGCGTTAAAGATGTAACGACATGTCATGTCCCGGTACAGATGTACAGCCTTGTCGTGTCGCGTTAAAGATGTAACGACATGTCATGTCCCGGTACCGATGTACAGACGTGTCGTGTCGCGTTAAAGATGTAACGACATGTCATGTCCCGGTACAGATGTACAGCCTTGTCGTGTCGCGTTAAAGATGTAACGACATGTCATGTCCCGGTACAGATGTACAGCCTTGTCGTGTCGCGTTAAAGATGTAACGACATGTCATGTCCTGGTACAGATGTACAGACGTGTCGTGTCGCGTTAAAGATGTAACGACATGTCATGTCCCGGTACAGATGTACAGCCTTGTCGTGTCGCGTTAAAGATGTAACGACATGTCATGTCCCGGTACCGATGTACAGACGTGTCGTGTCGCGTTAAAGATGTAACGACATGTGTGTCGCGTCCCAGATGTACAGACGTGTCGTGTCGCGTTAAAGATGTAACGACATGTCATGTCCCGGTACAGATGTACAGCCTTGTCGTGTCGCGTTAAAGATGTAACGACATGTCATGTCCCGGTACAGATGTACAGCCTTGTCGTGTCGCGTTAAAGATGTAACGACATGTCATGTCCCGGTACCGATGTACAGACGTGTCGTGTCGCGTTAAAGATGTAACGACATGTCATGTCCCGGTACAGATGTACAGCCTTGTCGTGTCGCGTTAAAGATGTAACGACATGTCATGTCCCGGTACAGATGTACAGCCTTGTCGTGTCGCGTTAAAGATGTAACGACATGTCATGTGTTGTGTCCCGTAACATATGTACATACGTGTTGTGTCCCGTAACAGTTGTATATACAAGTTGTGTCCCGTAACAGTTGTATAGACGTGTCGTGTCCCGTAACAGATGTACATACGTAGTGTCCCGTAACAGATGTACATACGTGTTGTGTCCCGTAACAGATGTAAAGACGTGTTGTGTCCCGGTACAGATGTACAGACGTGTCGTGTCTCGGCACAGATGTACAGACGTGTCGTGTCCCGTTACAGATGTACATACGTGTCGTGTCGCGTTACAGATGTACAGACGTGTCGTGTCCCGGTACAGATGTACAGACGTGTCGTGTTCCTGTACAGATGTACAGACGTGTTGTGTCCCGTTACTGATGTACGGCAGACGACGTGTTGTGTCCTAGAACAGATATACGACAAACGTGTTATGTCCCGTTAAAGATGTACAGACATGTCGTGTCCCGTAACAGATGTACAGACGTGTCTTTTCCCGGTACAGATGTACAGACGTGTCGTGTCCCGTAACAGATATACGACAGACGTGTCGTGTCCCGTCACAGGTGTGTCACGTATCGTTACAGACACGTCGTGTCCAAGTAAAGATATACGACAGACTTGTTATGTCCCGACAGACGTGTCATG